GCCACAGTCGTTCATATGTTGGAAGTAGATATGAATGAAGACTGTCATGAATTGGTGTGTGGATTGTCTAGAAAAGTATTAGACATAAGCAAATGTTTGCTGCAACGTTCATGAGTGCTTATGAATATGATTTGAGCATTGGATTAAACCCACGCTCACTTGGATCACTCCATGAATTGTATTACGAGTGATTAGTGAGACGATAACATCTTATATTCTTGAAACCGAGATGTGTGAGTTGTATCTTGTGAATTGGTTGCACATTGATAATATGTAAACGCACCAGTAACTTGGTGTTATAAAACATATTGTTGTGTGTAATTCGGTGAGTGAGTGCAAGCGAGCATTGTATCAAAGTTTATCCGTTCCTTTTATCCAAAGTAGGATAAAAGCGATATCTTTGGGCCCCTCGATGGTTTAGTGATGACATACGTAAATGCTCGGCCGGGCTAGGCTAATTTGATTTGTTCAGTTAGTCTGTCGTCATAAATCGGAAATCGAGATATAGTACAAAGAGAATGATTAGAAATCATATCTCATACGATATCTAGAATGGAGGAATATATGATCCCTTATCTAAGGACACGCGTATCTGATATGATCAGAGTTGACAGCGGCTTTGGAAAGCTACGATTGCAGATCAGGATCTGAAGTCATACGCAGAATAGTTGTTAGACTTATCCAAGTGGGAGACTGTTGGATTAGTGTCTAAGTCCATAACTATTTTGGTATGTACTTGACCCGATGGTGCATGGTCCTTTTGGGTTGCCTTCACCAAAGCAACTTGATTGGAGAAATGAATAAAGAGAGAGAGGATAATATGATTTATTAATATGTTATAAGAATAATATATTAAAGGAGAAATCATATTTGTTTAATTAATATTGGTCAATAATTAATTAAGAATTAGTTTTGTGATCAAATGTAATTAATTAAACTAGAGGGGCTGATTTGTAATTATGTGATAGTTACAAAATAAGGTAAGATTATCTTATATATATGGTGAACGAATTTGAGGTGTAAATCCTTAGAATTCGAGTATGATAAGGATTCAAGGATTATCTTATTGGTTGCTTAATGGATAATCAACTAGATAAGGATAATGACTGAAACCCTATCTCTACACCTATATAAACACCCCTAGGGCCATGAATTCGTGTATCCCTTCCCAAGAGGTCCTAGATACGAATTCTAACCTCTTACCTCTTTCTTTATACCTTCTCCATTTGCTTATGGTGTTTGTAAGCCATTAGAGGAGTGACACTTGTGACTCTAAGCATTCCAAAGTCAATACAAGGAGATTTGGGATTGTTATTGCTACATAACAATCAATGTAACACTATAAACTTATTCTCATGTTAATATGATTATATGTATGTTAGAATTAGGGTTTATAGTCTTGGATTCAAAGCATGTACAATAGAGAAACCTAGATCCAAGCATTAGGGTTTGTATGAGCACATAAGATGTCTTATGACCAAAACCCATCACTTTGGTAATGATAATTGAAATTGGGAAGTATGATTTGTTTGATGTCATTATTAAGATAGGCTATTATCAATTCATCATTTTTTCCAAGTTCAATTAGTTTAGGAATAAAGACAAGTGATTGAATCAACATATATTATTCCAACTTATGATGTTGAATCCTAATGCGGTAATAGGTAGTTGTAAGACATTTTATTGTTAGTTCACTAATTGTTCCTAATCCATTTAGACATAAATGAGTAAGACAACTAGTTGAATGAACATTTAGTGTGCCCAAACTATGTGTTACAAGTTAATAAACCCCAATTGCATCTAAGTGGTTGAATTAGAATTCTAGGGAAGAAAGTGTGTGAACCTAAATTGTACATGACTGAACCGGGAGCACTCTAGTTTTCTCATTGAGATTTTCATTTTTGATTGATAAATTTCCAAGCTTTTGTTTGATTCTTTTTTTTTTCTTTAATTTTTTTTCGTGACAATTGCTAGTAATACTTTTCTTTTTTATTGCTTTTACATAAAGTTTAACCACAAACTCCTTGTGGATTCGACCCGACTTACCCTATCTACTTAGGTTAGTTGGTTTATTTTTGATTGATACAACGACATCGATCAACACCCTAGAAGGAGTGGTAGCACTTTTAACACGTTGTCACGTAAGATTTTTTTTTAATGCCACGTAATCTTGGCATGTCTAGCATAAAAAGTAGGGAGTGGTAGCATGTCAATTTAATAGGTTTGATTTTAGGAGAAAAATAAAATAAAAAAGCATCATTCAATCAAAACACTCATTTTCACTTTCTCTTCTCTCTCTCCTATCCTTGCCAGCTTAACATCTCGTTTTTAAGCTAAACGGAGTGGACATGATAAATCCACTCGCTAATCCCCTTTGAGCACCACCCCTTAGCAATGTATCCAGTGGCAGATGTGTGTGGTGCTCGGGGGGTCTGGGGCCACTGCTCCGCTTCGGTCCGTTAGGGTAAAACAAATTCTATTAGGTGCACCGGCTTCAAATTCGTTCGGGTGACATTATACTTTCGAGAATTCGAGGCCCAAAAAATAAAAGTATAAAAAATGCTAGTCTAACAAAATAAAGAAAGTTAGCCCAACAGCCCAAATTCATTTTGAGGTTGTGACCCAAGTTGCTTATTAAGGTTTTAAACCAATTTAGAATCAGCCCAATACCCCAAATCTCTATTAGGTCCATCGATATTTTGAAGAAAAGAAATTGGAGTGCTTCCTGGACGAATGAGAAATCGGACAAAGAAAAAAAATCGGCACCTGTGAAGTGAAGGCAGTCGACGAAGACAAAAGAAATCTGACATTCGGACTTGCTTCCTTCAATCGATTTCAACCATTCGATTTTGCTTGGCTTGGCTTGACACTCCTTTCAATTCCTACAAATACAATGAAACAAGTAAGTATTGATAATTTTATGTTTATGAAATTAGTCAAATTAGTTGCTTTTTTGTTGAAATTTCTTATTGTTTAGGTGAAATTAGTAGTTGTTAACCTTGAAATTACTTGTTTACTTGAAATTAGTAGTTGTCATTTGTTAACCTTGAAATTACTTGAAATTACTTGGAATCTTGGATGGCTTATTTGTTTGATATTGAATTGTTAGGATAAAATTGAGTATTTTTTGGAAGAACAAGCATCAATAAATCAAGTGTTGGAGAATCCTCCAAAAGACCATCTTCCAATGATTTAAGTTTTGAATAATCCTCTAAAAGACTATGTCCTTCTAATCAATCATTTCCTTCGGTTTCTAATGCAACTTGATGGTGAACTTGAAATATATTATCACACTTTGCATAAAGATGATCGGTTCACTAATTTGCAAGAAATTTCCAACCTTTCTTGTTTGATGGTGGAAACGGGGAAACATCGGTCTTATCCTATGGTTTATAGGTTGTTGAAGTTGATTTTGGTTTTACCTATCGCAACCGCAACGGTCGAAAGATGTCTTTCAACAATGAAGTTTTTGAAGACGGATTTGCATAACAAAATAGGTGATCATTTTTTGAACAATGTCCTGATTTCTTATGTTGAAAAAGAAGCACTTATGAAAGTGAAGATCGAAGATGTAATGGATCGGTTTCAAAAAATATATACCCGTAGATGTCAAATTTAGATATTAAGATGTAATGGATCGATTTGATGTACTAGTACTTTTAACTTTTTTTATGTTATTATATTCAGACAAAAAAAAATTGTGCCACTACTGTGACAACTTTTTTCGTCCGCCACTGAATGTATCCCTATGTATACAACGAGAAGAGAGAGAACAAAATGGTGTAATGTGATTGGTTGGAAGGAAAGTAGCCTAATCCATCATTTTGCATATGTAAATTTCATATTTTTTAATTAAAAAAATGTAATTTTACCTAATCACTTTGCCATTTCCTCTTTCCATTAAATTTGAAAAAAAATAATAAAAAAAAGAAAAGAAAAATAGAGTGTTATGAGTATTACCACTCCCTATCAAATGCTACGAGCTAGATGATTAAAAAGAAAAATGATATGACACTCAAAAAGATGATGTGACAAGGTGTTACCACTTTTCATAATCTTAGTAATTTGCTTAACACCTCTAAGAAGATGCTTGTAACAATCATAACACATCTTAGCATCTCCCTTATCGAACTCTATTTCCTATAGCCTTACCGTGTTTTGCTACGACTGCAGAGCCCAAATCCCTTCATTTACGGCTCCAAGACTCCAAGTTCCGTAAATTTTTATTTATTTATTTTCGTTCAGTAGGTAAATTGTGTGATTTTTTTAACTTCAACGTATAACTCACTTTATTTGTATGGGTATATAATATTATTCCTGACGTGATATCCATTTCTTAAGAAAGACCATCACCATTTATTTGTATGGGCATCTAATATATTAGTTTATTACTAGTTTTGTTGATACTGTATAGTTGTATACATACATGATACACCTTATCCTCTCTCGCCTAATGTGGTCCACACATGGCAGTATAATTGCGACTCTTAACTCCCAAGTTTCACAAGGAGACAAATATATATGAAGGTCTTGATCCAAAACAACGGCGTTGGAAATGGAAACCACCTCAACAGCAAGGTAGTAAACTTTTAGGTGTTGGGTTGCTATCTTTAAATAGGTTTAGGAAATATTCGAACATATGACATCGGACGGACTATATTGTCTATATAATTTTCAATAAAAATACATTCACGTTTGTTAACTATATATAATTTAGTTTCGTTTTCTTCTTTCAAAAAAAAGCAATTCGTTTCAAAATTTGTTAATATCCTGTCCGATATATAATGTAGTTTTCATAATCTGCAGCAATGGGAATAGGAATGGGAATGGGAAGTGGGAACAAAAGGCAACTTGGTTCTTCCTTCATTCAGCGGCTATTATAGTTGTTTCATTGACCTTTTAGTAAAAGGTCAAAGCTGGTGTCCCCGCATCCAATCTCTACAAAAACTACTCAGAAATCCAATCTTTTTTTCAGTTTACAGATTCTTGGTCATCAAAAAATGACTTCCCACACATTTCGTTTCTCAGACCTTTACGTTCTCACTATCTTTACATTCTTTCATTATTCTTTATGTATCGAATACGAGAAAACCGCACTTCTGGAGTTCAAGAAAGACCTCATCGATGATGCCAACCTCCTCTCTTCCTGGAACAATAGCAACGGAGATTGCTGCAAATGGTACGGCATAACCTGCAACAACCAAACGGGTCGGGTTACCGAGATCCGACTTCGTGGGTCCGACGACATGGCTGATTTTGACAACCAAGACGCATCGGTACAGAAGCTCGGAGGGAACCTCAACCCCTCCTTGCAGAATTTGACCTCGCTCGAGTATCTAGACTTGAGTTCTAACGATTTTGGCGGGAACCCGATTCCGACCTACATCGGGTCGCTCCGAAACTTGACGTATCTGAATCTTTCCGACTCAAGTTTTTCCGGCGAGATCCCGACTCAACTCGGGAACCTATCTGCATTACGTGTGCTCAGTGTCCACCGGAATCTTTATAGTGACGACCAGTATGAGCTGACGGTGGAGAGTTTGCGGTGGTTGTCGGGTGTTTCACGGTTGCGCCACCTTGACCTGAGCGGAGTTCAGGTCGGCCGAGTGTTCGATTGGTCACAGGTGACTCGAACCCTCCTCCCTTCTTCTCTTGAACAACTGCATTTATCGAATTGTGGACTTCCTCCTATCACGCCTAATTTAACCATCAATCTTAGTTTGCTTTCAGTGCTTGATCTTTCTTTTAACAATTTCAGTACTAACTCCATACCTAGTTGGATTTCTAGTTTTCGGAGTCTTGTTTCCTTAAACCTTGCTAATTGTGAATTCAAAGGTTCGGTTCCTCTTGGTCTTATGAACATCAATTCCCTTACTACCCTTGATTTATCAAATAATCAACTCACGAGTATTCAAACTACGCCAGAAAACATCTGTAACTTGAGGGAAATCAGTCTTTCATGGAACAAATTTGATGGGAAAAATCTATCAGAGGTCCTCTCAAGTTGGTTCCAATGCGAATCATCTAAACTCGAGTCTCTAAGGTTTGTCGGGAGTGGGCTTTCTGGTAATTTACCACCACAACTTGGAAACCTGAAGAACTTGGTTCATATCGATCTTAACAGGAATTCCATTTCGGGGTCAATTCCAGATTCTTTAGGAAATTTATCATCTTTACAAACCCTACAACTCGGGCGTAATTCCATTTCGGGCACACTTCCTGACTCCATAGGAAGATTATCAACATTGGTAACGATGTATCTTTCTTCCAATTTGATTTCTGGCCCATTGCCCGATTCTTTAGGAAGATTGTCATCATTGGTGGACTTAGATCTTTCGTATAATGAAATCAATGGAACTCTTCCTCAAAGTATTGGCCAACTTACGAACCTGACAAGCCTAAACATCGAACAAAACTTTTTAAGCGGTGTTGTAACTGAAGATCATTTTGCTAATCTCACAAGCCTAATCACTTTACGAGCAAGTGCAAATACGTTAAGATTCGAGTTATTAGATAATAACTGGAAACCACCTTTTCAACTCCAAATATTGAACTTAAATTCATGGAGTTTAGGCCCAAATTTCCCTCATTGGCTTCAAAACCAGACGGATCTGTCCATCTTGTATCTTGCAAGCACCGGGATTTCGGATGACATTCCTAGTTGGTTCTGGAATTCGTTTTCGGGTTTGCAGTATTTGAATATCTCAGATAATAATTTCTCATCGATGTCTGTGGATGATTTCTTTTGTTCTAATGAAGAACAGAAACAGGTTATATACTTGAATATGGGGAATGCTAATATTTCCGGTGTTCTTCCTGATTGCTTTTCTACCTGGGAGTTTCTGAATATCTTCAGCATCCAGAACAATAATTTCTCCGGCAAACTTCCAGTATCTTTGGCGAATTTATCATCTTTAGAGTCGTTAAACATGCGGAACAACAAGCTCTCAGGAGAATTACCTGTAAATCTAATGAATTCCAAGAGTTTACTCATCATTGACCTCACAGAAAACGAATTCACCGGAAGCATACCGATACCAATCGGTGATGAAGCTACAACTTTGAGGCTTCTCAACCTCCGTTCAAACAGATTCAATGGTGAAATCCCGGATGAAATCTGTAGACTTGATTCTATCCAGATTCTGGACCTTGCTGACAACAATCTTTCTGGAAGAATACCAAACTGTTTCAACAATTTTAGTGTCATGACCGGAAAAGTTGACCCAAGTCAGATTGTGGGGCTCGCCGGAGATGAATTTAGGGGAAATGCTTGGTTGATGATGAAGGGGAGGGTGAATGGGTATGGGAGCATTCTTGGTTTATTGACGATTTTGGATCTTTCGGGAAACGATTTATCCGGGGATATTCCGATTGAAATTACACAGCTGGTGGAGTTAAGATCGTTGAATCTTTCAGTTAATGGTTTGACTGGAAAGATCCCAGTGAATATGGGTGACATGAAGATGTTGGAAGCTCTTGATTTGTCTCGGAATCGGCTTGATGGGATTGTTCCTTTAAGCATGTCAAGATTGAGTTTCTTGAATTCGTTGAATTTGTCTTACAATGAATTGACGGGAAGAATTCCGTTGAGTGGTCAGCTTCAGACCTTTGAGGAATGGAGCTTTGTTGGGAACAGACTGTGTGGACCTCCGGTGAGATTAATGTGTGAAAGACAGGGTGAGGGTGAGGATGATGCCGGTGAAGAAGAAGAAGGTGACGGTGGCTCCGATGGCCCAGAGTGGGGACTTATTACAAGCATAGTGGTGGGGTTTGTGGTTGGATTTTGGGTTGTGGTGGGTCCGTTGATTGGTAGCAACTCATGGAGGACCAAGTATTTTGAGTTTCTTTATGATATTTGGTGTAAGTTTTGTGTTTGCATGCCCAAAAAGAAAAACTCTTCCAACAAGAGGTTTCGTAGATAGCCAAAATGTTTGCTGTACAAAATGACTGCTGATGAAACCTGATTTTTTTTTTTTATCGTTTTAAAATATAGTAGTTTGTTTCATACATATCAGGGTAATATTTCCAATAAGAACAAAGCATCCCAAAATCAATGGAAGTATGTCTTTACTTGAAAGACTAATGTCGACTCCACTTACGGCAAAAGAATGTTTGTATATGTGTTCGTAATAGAAGGGATAATGGTTGTTGGTTGATTGTCCAGGCCTCGGTAGAATGTTGAATGTTACTCTTTCAGCTATACACAAACAAAATTATATGACTATTGCAGAAACAAACAATTTATTTAGTTGAAGAACTCCGTGTTAGAGTTAGGGAATGAAACATAAAGATTATGTTATTCATTAAGATAACTATAACATACTTCATCTAGCAAAAATTAAATTAAAATTTTACGGTTTGTGATTTTGTTAAATACATTGTATTGTTCTTAAAAATTATGAACTAAAACAAAACTTTATTACTTTAATGCTTAATGGTGGTCACATATCACATTCACTGTAATATTTTGTAAAATCTAATGAAGTCAATAAAAAGAAATCTTTAAATAGTTTAAGATGGATGTTTTATTTTGTTTATCTTTTTATTTGTTGATTGTAGTTTATATTTTTTAACATTAAAAAGTATGTATCCTTTTATGTTATTTATATGTTTGTAATAATATATGATATTATTGGTGAGATGTTTTCAATGGTGCAATTTGTAAAAAAGCTATAGATAAATTATAACTATTATATATTTTTAATTTAAATAAATAAGTTTATAGATAGAATGTAATAATTAGTTTAAAATAACAATTAAAAATGGAAACGCAAAGATGTAAATATTCTGTTATGTAAAATAAAACATTAAAAATGAAGAAATCTTTACCCCTTTTTTACAAGCCCCAGTTTTGCAAAGAAGTCTCCAAACACCACAAATTTTAGCAATTTTAGCAAAACTAGAGATGGTTGTTTCTTGACGACTGTTGCATAGCGAGTAAGCTTTTCAATTTTAGCAAACTAGGCTATATCTTTTTTTAATCAAATAATATATTTTAAATGTTTGATTGATAATTTGTCTGATTTGCGAATGTTTCCGGGAACGGAGATGGGTGGCGCTGTGATGGTTGTTCGGTTTGTAATCATTCACGTGTTTGATGAATCTTTCTAGAATCAAGTGGGAAGAAAGATCCAAATTCCCGTTTCCCACCATTAAATTACAAATTAATTGCAAAAGTCTTTCTATGGTGAAGCTAGGGGCGAGTAGTGGGGATAGGTTAAAGGAAGTTTCCTTCTTAGTAGAAAGTGAAAATGATGTGATGCTCATATCATTATCACCTAGTCACTTTCCAACCAAAGGTTTATTAAATTCTAGAATTTTAGAAAATCTGTACACATCACTATTTCTTGCTACTTTTTTGTATCCAAAAGTTGAATAAGATTCAAAGCATGGTCAAAAGTCTGCATGCCTATGCAAGTGGTGTATATGTATATATCAATTAAATCTGGTCCCTGCAAACATTCTTTATAATCACAAAAAAATTCAGAATAAAATCTAAACACTTTACATGAATTCTTTCACGCTACTTTGGCTTCTATCAGTTGCGTCATTGTGTACTAATTGTCTGTGTGACAACAAAAACCCAGGACATATTTTGTGCATTAAGAAGGAGAGATTGGCGCTTTTGCAGTTTAAGAATGATCTGATAGATGCTTCCAACCGCCTCTCTTCTTGGAGCAGTGCCAAGAATATGGACTGTTGTCAATGGGCTGGAATCGTCTGTGATAACATTACTGGCCATGTCCAAGAGCTTCATCTTCAAGGACCTGATCCCGATCTTGAAGAAGCATCCAATCAGAGACTTGGAGGAAGCATAAATCCTTCTCTACTATCGTTGAAGCAACTTAAGTACCTTGACTTGAGCTGCAACGATTTTGAAGCTATTCAAATTCCAAGTTTCATAGGTTCTCTAATAAACTTGAGATACCTGAATCTCTCACTATCACAATTCCAAGGTAACATTCCTCATGAAATCGGTAATCTGTCCAATTTGGTTGTCCTTGATCTCAGAATTGGACGATGGCTAAGTGATTTTACTGTTAAGAGCTTGGATTGGTTGTCGGGTCTCCCTTTACTACAGTACCTCGACATGTCTGGATATGATCTTAACACTGTATCTGAATGGCTTCAAGCGATCCACACCCTTCCAGCATTGAACGAATTGCACTTGTCTTCATGTAATCTTTCTCAAATCCCACGTCACCCAACCAAACTTAATTTCACTTCGCTTACCATTCTTGATCTTTCTTATAACTTCTTTGACACTTTGATGCCTGGGTGGATTTTTAGTCTAAGTAAGCTAGTTTCCTTGGATTTGTCTAGATGCCTTTTCCATGGTCCGGTTCTTGATAGTGTTAGTGGTTTCAACAACCTGACTCATCTAAAATTTCTTCATGTTACTGAAAATGATTTTATGAATTCACCATCTGTTTTGAAGGGGTTGATGAGCCTAACAAGCCTTGTGTCGCTAGATGTTAGTACCTGTGATATTTCAAGTCCAATTCTTGGTGGCCTTCATAATATGACTTCTCTTGTTAGTATCGATTTGTCACAAAATCATATTGTGGAGGCTTTGCCAAACTCATTTGGCGTCCTTTGCAACTTGATTCACATTGATTTCCGATCTAATAATTTCAGTGGAAGTGTATCGGAGCTTTTAACTAATTTGTGTGAATGCAAATCTCCTAAGTTAGAGTATTTAGCTTTTTCTGCAAACCGCCTTTCTGGTTCTATTCCAGAGAGAATAGGACAACTTCAACATTTGGTCACTTTTGATCTTGCATTCAATTACATTTCTGGTATAATTCCGTATTCTTTAGGAAGATTGTCATTCTTGAAGGAGTTGATGCTTAATGTTAACTCCCTTTCTGGTCCTCTACCCGATTCACTTGGGAACTTAACATCATTGTTTTGGTTAGAGATTTCTTACAACAATTTCAATGGAAGTCTACCTGAAAGTATAGGACACCTTGGGAACTTGGATTACATGAGTGTGCATCACAATTCATTGACGGGTGTTCTAACGGAAAATCACTTTGCCAATCTCACATCATTGAAGACCATATGGGCAGAAGCAAACATGTTATCGCTACAACTAAGAGACAAAAATTGGGTCCCACCCTTCCAACTTAAGGTCCTGAGAATAGGTTCTTGGAGTTTAGGCCCTCACTTTCCTTCATGGATTCAGTCACAAAAAAACTTGACTGATTTGGACATAGCCAAGGCAGGAATTTCAGATGTCATTCCAAGTTGGTTTTGGAGCTCGTTTTCAGATATTGTTTTCTTGAATATATCTCAAAATAGTATCCATGGGATTCTGAAAGGAGACCTTAGCATCCTTGCACCAAATGCAATCGTTGATCTAAGTGACAACTATTTTCAAGGTCCATTACCTGGAAATTTCACTGAAGCTGACTTTGTTTTTCTAGATGTATCAAACAATAATCTTTCAGGTTCCATTGAGCAGTTCTTGTGTCCAAGTTTGGAAAAAGATAGACCCCTACAAGTTCTTGATCTAGCCAATAACAACATGTCGGGTGTTATTCCAGATTGTTGGATGAATTGGCAAGCTTTATCAGTTGTAAACTTTGAGAACAATAAGTTTTCTGGTGAAATTCCAGAATCTGTGGGGAACTTATTTTCCCTTCTGTCATTCAACATCCGCAACAACACGCTCTCTGGCAAACTACCTGCATCTCTATTGAATTCTGAAAGCTTACAGATTATTGAGCTTGCTGAGAATGAATTCATTGGAAGAATACCATCCTTGATAGATGGAAAAGAAACAAAGTTGAAACTACTCAACCTCAGATCAAACAAGCTGCAAGGTGAAATCCCTGATGAACTATGTCGTCTCACATCAATCCAGATCCTGGATCTTGCCCATAACAATCTATCAGGAACCCTTCCGAGATGCTTCTACAACTTCAGCATCATGTCTGGAAGGCAAGGCTCAAGTCCGATTGTTCTATATGACGTGCCATTTCAGGATCAATTTCTTGGTAGTGCGTTGTTGGTGACTAAAGGAAGAGAGTTTGAATATAGCACCATTTTATATCTGGTAACAACTTTGGATCTTTCAGGTAATAAGTTTTCTGGACCCATTCCACGAGAACTTATGGGGCTTGTAGGTTTGCGTTGGTTGAATTTGTCAGGAAATCAATTAACAGGAAGAATTCCAGAGGAGATTGGTGAAATGACATTACTTGAATCTCTTGATTTTTCCATGAACCAGCTTGATGGGAGGATTCCTTGGAGCATGTCGAGGTTGTCAGCCTTAAATTGGTTGAATTTGTCTTCCAACAAACTGACGGGAGAAATCCCAACAGGTACTCAGCTTCAGAGCTTAAATGAATCGAGCTTCAAGGAAAACACACTCTGTGGGCCTCCACTTACAGTTGTCTGCAACAAGAAATGGGCCTCACCTGATGCAAGCATAGGAAGCGGAGAAGAACAAAATGAGGATGATGAATCAGATGGACAAAACTGGGGATTTATCATCAGCATTGTGCTTGGATTTATAATTGGCTTTTGGGTTATGGTTGCTCCTTTAATTGCAAGTAAAGTATGGAGAGGTGCTTACTTTTCTTTTCTCCATAAAGTGTGGTTCAATATTTGTATTGCTAGTCATAGTTAATGTTTCTTTACATTTATTGTATCGTGGACTTCCTCTTATCATGCCTAATTTAACTATTAATCTTATTTCGCTTTCGATCCTCAGATCTTTCTTATAACAATTTCAATACTAACTAGACACCTAATTTGATTTCTGAGTCTTGTTTCCTTTAACCTTGCGAATTGTAAATTCATAGGGTTTAGACTAGTAAGTGTATCACACTCAAATTATCCACCTCATCATCCTAGTTACAATTTGGTGTTATAACATCAAAGGTGGAAATGAACAATATCAAATAACATGGGATAACACATTTTATTTTCTATTTCATTTTTTTTTAATGTTTTTAATTTCTATTATTCTAATTTGTTTTATTTTTTTTATTTACTTCATATATTTATAATTTGTTTTATTTTTTTATTTATGTCATATATCTATAAAAAAAACATATAAATTAATAAAACATAATTTGATTAAATAGTAAACTAAAAATACCAAAGAAACCAAAAAAAACACACACGATATTCCTAATAATTAAAAAAAAAAAAACGACAAACTATTCTTCGATCTTTGCCTTCATCCTCCGTATCACTTCAGCTCGTCTCGGTGGTAAATTTTGTTCGTCTGTAGTAAAAATTGTCAAACCCTTCGATATACGATCTTCTTCGGCTTCTTTACGAAGGAAATCCAAATGATCCCGTTGCAATTCATATATTTTATTTGCGATTTCCGTGTGGGCGTCGATCTATTTTTTTCATTTCGTCGTGCTCTCGAAGTCGGCTTTCATTCGCCTGCACATGTCGTTGCGCGCACTTGGCTTTGTCGCGCCCCATCGGTCGTTGTGGCGAAGAGATTTCCTCGATGTCATCAAATCCGTCCGGGATCTCATCGGTGTCCGCGTTGAGGTCGATGTTCGTGTATCCGCCGGAAACGTCAACTATCTTTGATTGTTGTTCCGATTGTTGTTCCGTGTGGGCGTCGATCTATCTTTGATTGTTGTTCCGATGATGTTGGCATTTTCACCCATTTTGGATATTTCCTCACTATGTCCCATACTTTTTTCATACTCAAATACGTGCGCCATTTGCACGTGATATTCCTCCCTCGCGGCTCTAAACACATCGAAATCATTGGCACCACTTTGACGTTGCGAAGAAAGTTTGTTGTATATGGAATTGAATTTGGTGCACTTCCAGCTAATTTGAGTCCACTTGCCATTAAGCATATCATTATTGCGATATGTGTCACCCTTGTTCAAAATTGTGCGGAATTTGACAATTACGGCATCCTAAAAAGCAACTCTCTTCATATCGTTCCCCATAGTTGGTTGTTTTGAAATACCGTACCAAGCCACCGCCAACACATGCTCTTCCTCTGGTGTCCACCATGTTGGAGGTGCTTCCGTTTCTTTCACCCCGACCCCGACCTCTTTCCCTTTCTGTTTTGGTCTCCCTTTTTTCCCCGATGCTTTCTGACTACCCCTGACTTGCGTTTTGACAACAGTTTCTTGCGTGGGTGGGGTTGTGTGACTGTTTGGCGCATTGGACCAAATGTGTTAAAAATGTTTTGTTGAATGTTTGCATTTTGTTGCATAAATGGCGAGGTAGGGAATTATAGTGGGGGTGAGGCAGGATTGAAAAAATTGCCGGAATATGAAATTTGTGGTGAGTTTTGGGAGGTTAGAAGGTTCATATATCCCTCATATCCAGCAAAACCTAATGGAGTGGATGTGTTTTTCTTCAGATAAATGGTATTCGGGTTTTGATCCATAGTGGTTTTTTTGTTTTGAATGAAATAGAGATAGATATAAAGAAATAGATATAGATATAGAGAAATTGAGATAGATATAGAGAAATAGACGTGTAATAAAAATGAGGTATATGTATTGATATAGTTTAATTTTTTAAATACTATTTTTTTTACAATTCACCGTATTAAACGGTAATCTTACCGTTTTTCAACGGAACAAAATTTGCAACGGTAAAAAAAATGGCGTTACCATTCGTTACTATGGTCACGGCTAATGGCGTAACGCCCCATAGCGGCTACCTGGGGTGGTGTTCCGCGTTATGGCGCCGTTAAAGGTGTGTGCCACGTCTAGATAACGCGATGTCCGTGTTGCCCACACCCGTCCGTCTCAGGGTAGTCCCAAATTTCCCTCATTGGCTTCAAAACCAAATGCATTTGTTCATCTTGTACCGTGTCACTACCGGGATTTTGGATGACATTCTGAGTTGGTTCTGGAATTAGTTTTCGGGCTTGAAGTATTTTAATATCTCGAATAATAATTTCTCATCAATGTTTGTTGATGATTTATTTTGTTACGATGAAGAACACACATACACACACACACACACACACACACACATATATATATATATATATATATATATATATTATATATATATATATATATATATATATATATATAATAGCCGTCTACCCGCGCCAAGTGTCGGGTGCAATTTTTCTTTATTTCAGAAATTAGTTCTAGTGTTTTTGCGCAAATAGTTTACTACACATAAACAATTATCAATAAGAGTCATGCTACCAGAAACGAAATCAGAAATAATTAAAAATGAAAAGTTTGGATTCTTTAAAAATGAATGAACACATGATTAGCTGATCATTATTGATCATGCAACACTTATTTATACACGATATTTGACGTATAGACTTCACTGCCGTTGAATTGTTCATCGGGTTTCACCAATACTTTTGTAATGACACGTAATATCCCTCTGGATAATGCCACATAAAGTTGGCCATGCAAGAAAATCGATTCTGGAAGACGAATTCTTACATTTGGAATTGTTTGTCCATGAGCTTTATTTATTGTCATTGCAAAACATAATCGAATTGAAAATTGCTTATCTTTAGCTTGAACGGAAACATGTCATCTTCAGACGGACTTAGAGGAATCCTTGGAAAAAATACCCTCTTTCCAACATGTTAACCAACAACTATTTCGGCATCGATGACATTGTGCTGAAAACTTTTACATATCAATTTGGTGCCGTTACATAATCCATTTGACGGGTCGAGACTCCGTAACAGTATTATCGGGCATCCAACTTTCAGTCTTAAGTAATGAGAGGGCAAACCACTAACACTAAGCGTGTTCAAGAATTCCACAGGATAGAAGTTATTTATATATATTTCAAATCCTGGCACCACTTAGCCCTTGTGGCCATGGAGGTTAGCCTGCAGTGACTCCAGGGCATGAGGCAAAGCTTTATGTTTGCAGCGGGGGATTAGTCGGTGCGCGAAAGCTGGCCCGGAAACCCTCGTTATGGAAGTTCCCTTTCCAAAAAAAAAGTTATTTATATCATCCACGGCTTCATCAAAACTATAGTAAATTCTCTCTTCTCCATGGAATCAGCCGATCAAATAATCATTAATCTCATCGACACTATCATTTCTTGCGGATAATATTGCACGCGAAATAATATAATCTGGTTCAGATCTATTAATTTCAAAGGATGGAAAGATTGCATCAATCAAAGCATGCAATGGCTTTTCTTTTTTGTGAAGGGAATTACCATATCATCACGGATGCAAATAAAGTTTCTGTGCACCATTTCTTCAACTCCATCACCGACACGTACTAGAAAGTCTGTGAACCATGGATCGGTTAGTGCTCTCATATTTATAGTTAACCGCAACTTGATAATGGAAGACCAAAGAGGCGACATTCGTATGCTAGAATCCTCAGTCTGTGCTCGTGTTCCATGTCTAACGACTGGCAACACTTGTCTAAAATCACCTCCCAAAACCATTATCTTTCCACCAAATGGGAGCATCACCCCAGTGATATCTTTCATTGTACGGTCAACCGCCTCCAATGCATGTCTTTTAGCCATCGACGCTTCGTCCTAAATGATTACTTTTGTAGTCCGAAGTAGTTGTGTAGTACCACTTTGTCTTGAAATCTTACAAACCGAGTTATTTTCAAGATTGATAGGAATCTTAAAGTGAGAGTGAGTTGTTCTTCCCCCAGGCATGTTATTAGCTGCAACACCCGATGAAGCAGTCGCAAGTGCAATATGACCACACGAACGAATATTAGCAAGTAAAGCTTTGTACAAAAATGTATTTCCTATTCCACCAGGACCGTCTATGAAGAACACTCCTGGAATATCATTATGGACATGCCGCATGATCTCATCATACGCAAACTTTTGTTCGGGATTGAGAGAATTTCGGGCTTGTAAATGTTCAGGTTCTAAAACAATAGAGCATTCTTCTTGTACCTCAGGAAAAACTCCAAATTCTAAATCGACATTTTGATTTATTTTTGGAAGATCAAAATCATCAATATGGTCACCCATAGATTGTAGGAATACCATGATTTCAGTGAGGACCATATTTTGGACTCTCTCAACACTTCCGTATTGTCGCCTATAATTTTATGAAAGACCATTGTAGTGGTCATGACATAACTTACGAACATCTCCTGGCTCACAAAAACTCAATATCGTTGCAAACAACCTTGTAAGAGCATTGGGAAATTGAAACAAAGATGCCTCTATAAGACATTGAGACAAACCATCATCAGAATTAATTAAGCCTCTTCAAGAGCTGCTTTCCGAAATATTGCCTTAGTAGTATAACTTTTAATGATGAGTGATGACATCTACATATTATGATACTCCATTTTTGTTGTGGTGCAAAGCAAAACCAACAAAAGTACCAACTAAACATACGGTAACAGACATGCGGGCTTATTTAAGCATCATAGCTTCTCTCATTTGCCTGTCCACACTCGGTTACATGAGCCACATCATATATTATTATCCTACGTTTAGCAATATTTAGTGGTTAAAATCACTTTCCTGCAAAAAAGAAAAAACAAATGTTGAATGTTTGAATATAAAATAATAGTAGAAAATGTCAAAAACATACATCATGCCAGAAGGGGAGAGTAATAGATTTCATGTTGAATAATGATAGATATTGAACCATAAAGGGTAATGGAATTATGAGAAAATTGTTCCCCTTGAGATTGTTGAGAAACTTTG